GCCATGGATCAGGTTTGCAAAGGCAGGCATATAAGGGGTGAGCTGTGAGGAAATAATTGGGAATCTAAAGACGACAGTACCCAGCAAGACCCAGAAACCCTGTAACTGTCTTTTAGTCTGAGGTTGAGGGAACTGGGTGAAGGTAGTAATTCTGTCTGGTTCTATTTTTAGCCCATCCAGGAAAAGGTGGCCTAGGATTTTGACTGAAGCAGAACAGAGTTGTAATTTATCTTTAGATCTTTGTGTCCTTTGTTGGCTAATTGTTTGAGAAGGCACTGAGCATCAGTGGGACAAGCCTTTAGGGTGGGAGAACATAGTAATAAATCGTCTATATATTGTAAAGTGTCGATATCCCAGGGAAATCAAGATCTTTTAGGTCAGCAAATAGGTAGAACTTTTAGCATATTCCTGGGGTAGGACTATCCAAGTGTATCGTTGATTGTTCCATGCAAAAGTAAAAAGATACTGACTTTGGGGGCTGACAGGGATGCTGAAAAAGGCACTGCACAAGGCAATGACAGAAAACGTAGTAATTTCAGCTGGTATATTAGAGGAGGATGTGGGAGTCAGGAATAATAGGGTGACAGGGTATGACTGTATTGGTAATTGCCCTAAGGTCTTGAACAAAATGCCTTCCTCTATTATGCGGCTTTTTAACTGGAAAAATTGGGGTAATACAAGGATTAGTAGTGGGGATGATAAAGTCTTGAATAATAGGAGTTATTCTTTTAATGGCCATAGTGCTTAAAGGGTATTACTTAATAGTGGATAAGGCCTTTAATGGATCAATCTGAATAGTTATTAGGGAAGCCGAGGTTATGTGTCCTATATTGGTAGAAGAGGTTACCCACAATTGATCAGGGAGTGCATTTAGGAACGGGGAGCGGGGGCAGTGGACTTACTGGAGGGTAGTACTGGGCAGATCAGTTAGGAATTCTGAAGATTGAGAAGGCAGATATAACAGCACTTCATTTTTTTTGGTCAAAGGAAATATGGGCCTGGTATGCCTGCAAAAAATTTCTTCCTAACAAAAGTCCTGGAGGGGTGTGTGTGCCTGGCTGGCTCAGTTGGTAGAGCAGTGACTCTTGATCTTGGGGTCCTGAGTTTGAACTTCACATTGGGTATGGAGTCTACTTAAAAAATAAAAGAAAGTGCTGGGGATGAGGGCACCAATAAAAAGGAATGGTTGCCTTGTCAAGTGCCAAGAATGAACTCTAGGGGTTGAGATAATGTGATAGTTGGTGGCTGATTAGTGACCCTGACCCTGATGGTTAAGTGCTTTTGTATTCTTGAGGCCAGGGACTGGAAAATAGATCAGTGGTTGAGGATTGAAGAAGCTGCTCCAGTGTCTATAAGAGCAAAGCGTCTTAGGGGCGCCTGGGTGGGATGGCTCAGCATCCGACTCTTGATTTTCACTCAGGTCGTGATCTTGGGGTGGTAGGACTGGGCTCCACGTCAGACTCTGGGCTCCAAGTTAGACTTTGGGTTCAGCGCTGAGTCTGCCTGTCCTTCCCCCTCTGCTCCTCCCCCGCTCACACTCTCTCTCTGAAATAAATTAATTAATCAAATTAAATCTTTAAAAAAAAAGAATAAAACCGTCTTCATTCTGAATTGTTATGGGAGTTTCTCCGGTGGTGTTTGCTAGGAGAAAGGGGAAAAAAATCCCCCTTTTGTCCTTGGAACATCTCTAATCTGATCGAGGAATTGTTTTTGAGATTTTTGATTTTTTGGTTTTTGTTTTTTTGAGAGTGAGTGCACACATGAATGCATATGTGAGTGGGGCTGCAGGGGGCTGCACAGAGGGAGGAGAGAGAATCCTCAGCAGGCTCCACGCCCAGTGAGGAGCCAGACTCGGGGCTTGATCTCAGGACTCTGAGATCATGTCCTGACCTGAAATCAAGAGTCAGATGCTTAACTGACTGTGCCACCCAGGCGCCCCAGGATTTTTTTGTTCTTTTGGAGCCATATTTTATATTTCAAACATTCCTTTTTGAAAGGTCCAGGGTATTTTTGTTTATAATTGTTTTAAGTAGGCTCCATGCCCAAGGTGGGGCTTGGACTCATGACCCTGAGATCAAGAGTGGCTCACCCTACTGACCCCTGAAATGTCCAGGTTTTTGCAAAAGAAACATGTTTTATCAGTTGAGCCAGATGTTTTAACTTTTTTTAAGATTTTATTTATTTATTTGACGGAGAGAGACACAGCAAGAGAGGGAACACAAGCAGGGGGAGGGGGAGAGGGAGAAGCAGGCTTCCCGCCGAGCAGGGAGCCCGATGCGGGGCTCGATCCCAGGACCCTGGGATCATGACCTGAGCCGAAGGCAGACGCCCAACGACTGAGTCACCCAGGCGCCCCTTAACTTTTTTTTTTTAAGATTTTATTTATTTATTTGCCAGAGGGAACACAAAAGCACAAGCAGGGGGAGCTACAGGCAGAGGGAGAAGCAGGCTCCCTGCTGAGCAAGACACGGACTAGATCCTAGGACCTTGGGATCATGACCTGAGCGGAAGGCAGACGCTTAGCCGACTGAGCCACCCAGACGTGCCCAGATGTTTTAACTTATGACATGGATTTGGGGTTTGCCGTTTGTAGAGCCATAAGGTTAGCCATTTGTTCTATTTAAAATTTATTTTTGTTATTAGCCAATCATCTTTGCCAATCTGTTGGTGGTGGTGGCTAGATCACGAGGAGTTTTGGTCTGTTGGTCAGGGTCATGTTGTCTGACCACAGTTAAGATTGAAAAAAGGAAGTCCTCTAGAAACACTGAATTAAATAATTTGATCCTTTATCCAATCTAAGGGTTCCAGAATTTTGGACAAAACCTTTTTCGAATCTATCAAAAAACTCTAGAACAAGTTCTTCCTTTTTTGTTTTGTGCTGCCTTCTAATTTATTTGAGGTGCCCACATATGGGGAATCATTTTGATTAAATTTGCAGCTATATTAGAAGTTTTTTCTAGGGCCTCATTATGAGGAAGTTTAAAATCCTGCAGGGAGGTCTTCCTATCCAGCTTTATTTATCCATTCTTGGGCCTGTAGAGGTCCAACGAGCATGCCTATTAGTTGGTAAAAGTCAGAAGGGCTTGCATTAAGGGCATTGATAGTCCAAATTGATTGTCAGGTGAACTCTTTTGAATTTTCTTTTGGGTTAGGAAAGTCTTTTGCAAGATTAAGAAGTTCTATTTAGGACCAGGACGTGAAAGGAAGGACCTGATTATTGGGATTAGGACAAGTAACTTTGACTTTGAAAGGTGCTATGATGTTAGTTTTGGGAGGATGGATGGCGGCAGGGCTGGGGAAGGAGAAACTTCAGAGGGGAAAAAGGAAGTTTGGAAAGATCTGCATATAGCAGAGGAAATAGAAGGCATGCTGTGGGGGACAGAGAACTGGAAATGGAAGATGTGGAGTAATTTCTGATTCAGTGTTGAGTTGTTCTAATTGTTTTCATCTTTCTTTGAGTTTTTTTCTTTCGCAGAGGCTATGACTGACTAGGTTCTTTTGGGGGCTTCTAAGTACCAATTGAAGATAGGCTTCCATTGATTTTGTGAAGTATGATAGCTTCACCTTTCCAATTGTGCTCTTAAATACACCAACTTAGGGATATCAAAGGTGCCCCAAGGAGGCCAGTGAAGTTTTAAATGATATTTTGTGATCTGAACCCAGGTTGAGGAAACTTACAGCTCCCGGGGCCATAGTTTTTTTTTTAGCATTTTATTTATCTGTTTAGAGAGCGAGTGAGCACGAGCGAGGGAGGGCAGAGGGAGAGGGAGAGTAGCAGACTCCCCGCTGAAGGAGGAGCCTGGGGCAGGGTTCCATCTCACAACCCTGAGATCATGACCTGAGCTGAAGTCAGATGCTTGGCCACGCTGGTGCCCCGGGGCCATAGTTTTCATCTGTACAATCAGCAGGCTGATCATCAAAAGCTCTGAGAGACTGGTACCCACTCTGTATTGGAGGAACCCTGCCCTGAACTGCTAACAGTTCTGAAGTGAGGAAATTTCCTCCCCCCCAAAAAGTCTCAGGGTGCCTGACTGGCTCAGTCCATGGAGCACGAGACTCTTGATCGCAGGGTCGTGAGTTCGAGCCCCACCTTGGGTGTACAGATTATTTAAAAATAAAATCTTAAAAAAAAAAAAAAAGGAAAGAAAGAAAAGTCTCCTGAGCTCTTCGGAGGTGGGGGGTCGGGGATATGAAGGACCATGCCCGTCACTACCACCCCCCATCACAGGAGCCACCCTAAGAGAAGCAAAGCGGGGCTGTGGTGCTCACTCTGGCAGGTCCGGAGGTCCGCAGCAGGTGCCTAGACCGCTTCACGTTTTTTCCTCGGCTGCTCCACAAACTGTTAGGGAAAAACCTCAGGAGCGAGCCTGTGAGCGAAGACAAAGCGAGGAAAAAGGAGACAACTCTTTATTTAGGTTTGCAAACTGCGAAGCACCATCCGACTCAGCGGGTGTGCCCGTCCCTAGAGGCGTTTTTTAAGGCTTGTTTACCCCAGCGAGGGAGAAATTTCCGTTGGTATGGGTTGCCGAGTGACCGGTTGGCTTTCTTTGCTCAGGTCTGTGAGACGCAGGGAACTTTCCAGGTGTTCAAACCGCGGAGGGTTTACCGTGATTCCGAGAGGGGCCGCTCTTCGGGGAACTCCACAAAATGGTGGCTGGTGCAAGATGGAGTCAGGGTTGTCAACGCTTCCCTGGGCGCTCTTCTTCTGCAGTGTGAACCAGCACACGCACCCTCTGAACACACCGTAACATAATCCGACCCCCAAAGTGAGTCCGAGAACCGACCATCTCGCCGCGCTGACAGATCCCTTCTCTACGGAAGGCGAACGGTTCGGCTCCTCCCAGACCCCTAACCGCACATTCGCTAGTCTTTCAACTCAATCGTTCAATTTAGCAGTTTCTGTCGTCGCGCAAGAAGTTCGAAAAACGGGAAAGCCCGTTCTCTTCGGCGATGATACACCCTCGAGGCTCAACACACGTGGATGACATTTCCTAAAAGCAAAAACGAGAAGCACTGCTCGTGGCGAATCGGCTTCTTCCAATATAAAGGACCGCTCAGGCAGGCGCGAGGAGTCGCTGGCGCTTCGAGTCCGTGGAGTCCGCTGGCTAAGGTGGGAAGGGAAGCCCGAGCCTTGCTGAGGTGAGTGGGAGCGGCCTGGTGGCAGCAGAGCCCACGCCAGCGGGAAGGACGAGGGAAATTCGGTCCGGACGGTGCGTCCACTCGTGTAAGGGCCGCCATGTTGGAGCCTGGCAAAGGGGGAGCCCTTCTGGGGTTGTGGTGCGGGAAGCGGGGGCGATAGCTCGGGTGGAAGAAGGGCCTCTTCTCCCCCTCTCCCACTCGGATGGTGAGAGGTGTGCGGGGCGGGGGGCAGCCTCGAGGGCCCTCGGTCAAGGCTGAGGTGCGGCGGGGCTACTGGGAGTATATAGGCTTTTCCCCCCAGACTTCCGCCTTCGCGGCCGCGGCGCCACTGCGCATGCTCCGGAGCGCTCCGCGGGTCCGACTTCAGTTGACTTGGATGCAAAGCGCGGGAATATTCTAAACTCGGCATTTAGTTTCTTTTTATTTTTATTTATTTATTTATTTATTTTTAAATTTTATTTACTTATTTGAGAGAGAGAGAATGAGAGAGAGCGAGCACATGAGAGGGGGGAGGGTCAGAGGGAGAAGCAGGCTCCCTGCCGAGCAGGGAGCCCGATGCGGGACTCGATCCCGGGACTCCAGGATCATGACCTGAGCCGAAGGCCGTCGCTTAACCGACTGAGCCACCCAGGCGCCCTGATCTGTTTAATTTCTAATTATAAAGCACGTTCACGGACACTGTCTTACCTAATCTTCACAAAAACCTAGTGAAGTGGCTTGTAGCTACGTTTTACAGTTGACTTAAACTTTGCCCAAGATCGGACTAGGTCTTAAACCCGGTGTTCTGTCTCCGATCCCGTGATCTTGTTCACTTTCACACTTTTGTCTTTAATTAAGATTAGTTTCCCCATCCACCTTCATTCCCCACCATTCATCTCTCACATCTCATTCCCATTTATGAAATAATGACATTTATCTAAAAATCCAAAGAAACTGTAGGAAATCTCAACATAATGCAGCGGAGGGAATACTCCCAGAAAGATGAATGAGAAGCCGTGAAGCCTGCTGCTCTTTTGGCATTTAGTTTTTGTGTGTGTGTGGTTTTTTTTTTTTTTAAGATTTTATTTATTTATTTGACAGAGAGAGACACAGCGAGAGAGGGAACACAAGCAGGGGGAGTGGGAGAGGGAGAGGCAGGCTTCCCGCTGAGCAGGGAGCCCGATGCAGGGCTCGACCCCAGGACCCCGGAATCATGACCCGAGCCGAAGGCAGAAGCCTAACGACTGAGCCACCCAGGCGCCCCTGTGTGGTTTTTTTTAACCCCCCTTGGCATTTAGTATTTTTTAAAGATTTTATTTATTTGAGAGAGAGAAAACAAACAAACAAACAAGCGGGGTGGGGGGGAAGGGGCAGACGGAGAGGGAGAAGCAGACTCCTCACTGAGCAGGGATCCCCATGTGGGGCTCCATCCCTGGACCCTGAGATGGTGACCTGAGCTGAAGGCAGACAACTTAACTGACTTCGCCACCCAGGCACCCTGGCATTTAGTATTGATAGAAGTATACCCATGAAGGAGAAACAAAATTCAGACTCTTCCTTTGTAATTCTCTTCAAATTTTAATTTGAAGAATGATGTGGGAAACAAAGGCAGAAGAAAAATTATTAAATGTCCTTACTACCTACAGCCCACTGACAAGTCCTTGAAACAGGCAGAGTGACATTAGTCTAGGGGCTCAACTGCCTTGATGTTGATACTTTGCTAAAGGCAAAAGGCAGTCTTAGCCCAAACCCCAGGATCCTGTAAGTCTACTTTAATATATAAAAATTCCTTTGGAAACTTCCTTTATCTCTACCCTCTCAAGGTACGTGTTGGCAATCATCCCCCAAGCATATGACCCACCAATATACATCAAGGGTCTCATGACTAAGGTTTTATTAGACAGTAATAAATTACGTTTCCCAGCAATAGCTAGCCCCCTCAAGGCCCTGGAAACCTTGCTTCCAAAATTGCTAGAGACTTAGACTATCCCTAACCCCTTTCCAACTTGAAAGTATATAATGGGCCACTCCTCATGACCCCAGTGCAGCTTTCTGCCCACAGGTCCTGTCCCCGTGCTTTAATAAAACCTCCTTTTTGTACCAAAGATGTTTCAAGAATACTGTCTTGGCTGTTGGCTTGGAACCCTAATGTCTTTGCTACATCAAATAATTCTTAAAGCTTTGGAAAGGAGTTCTGTGTAGAATAGTATCAGTTTTATTTGATGGATCTTTTATGACCTTTTCTTGTTGGTTGGGGAAGGGATTCTTTCCTCAGCCTCAAAAACACAGAATCCTCTTGGTTTTTGTTGTTGCTGTTGCTAGCCCCATCTTCAAAGTTTTATATTTTGTGACAGCCATCTAAGAAAATACTAAGAGCTCAAGTCAAGTTCTGGAGTGGTAAAAGCCCTTGAATGTAACTCCCTGGCAAGGCTACTTCTTAGCCTTGTGATTTGGGACAAAAGAAAGCTTTTTGTGTGTCTCCATCCTCATCTGAAATGACAGTAATAGTAGAACCTCCGTCCTGACAGTGTTGAGACGTGAGGGGAATTAAGTGCTTAGCATTAGTGCCTGGCACCTCCTAAGTCTTCAGTACAAGTTAACTATAATTATTATGGTCCGTGTGTGTGTGTGTATGTGTGTGTTTCCCTGCAGCCCTGTGATGGAGGTTAGGGAGTGTGGTCTAGAATGGTAGGACCAGTAGAATGGAATTGTTAGAGAATACTAGAGCAGGGAGAGAGTCAAACAACACAGTGCTCTCTCTTATTTTCTTTTTTTATCATGTGGAGAAGTTCCAGCCATGAGAGAGAAGAGACACAAAGTGAGTTAGAGGCAGCACCCAGACGGGACTGAAATCCTCTTTCGTCTCGTTACTCCCGCTGTTTTATCATCCTTTTACCGATAAGGATACCAGAGGTGCCTTCTCCAAAGTTGCTGGTTACCGATGACAGGCATATATGCTCTCCTTTTACAGTGTGGTGGCAGACAGTATAAAGTTGTTTTGCTTCTCAGTTCTCAATAAAATCATCCTTTTTGTCTGATTTGGACACAAAAGAACTTCACTGAATTTTGACTGGAGTTGGTTCAGTTCCTCAGTATTCATCAGGAAGTATCCTAGAATCTGGAGATAAAGTAAAGCATATGCTAGACTAAAGAGTGTTTACTGTGTGTTAGGGGGGAAATGTGATTGGTATTAGACGAGGTGCCCTGAGCTGTGGGACAGATAAATTTGCTTCCTAGGGAAGAGGCTGGAAGCTGGGCTTGGAAGGACCAATAGAATTTCCGTAAGTGGAGCTGTGGAAAGGAAGAAAGTGTTCCCAGGAGAGGAAATTGCACAGGGAAAGACCTGGAGCTGGGGAATTAGGGCACATTTCAGGAATGGGGAGCAATGCTGGGTAAAATAGATTTTGCGTGGACTGTGGTAAGAGGCTAAGGGACAGTCAAAGGTCTTGAGTGCAGTGCCATTGACTTTGGATTTTATTCTGTGTTTGGTCTTTTTACTGGCAAGATAATTCCATAGTGCACCCCATAAATAATCACTCCCCCTACATAACCCATCAACCGAAGAAAAAGAAAAGCAAAAAGATCCTTGAGGAAAATATGAGTAAGAGGGGGAAAATTATAGATATTTTAATAAATATCATGGAAAGATGTTATGAGATTACTATATAAATTTGACAGAGCCCTGGTTTGTTTGTTGGTTTATTTATAAAAGTAAGCTCTATAACCCAATGTGGGGCTTGAACTCATGACCCCTAGATCAGGGGTCACATGCTCTACTGATTGAGCCAGCCAAGCACCTGGAGTCCTGGTTTTAGGGTAACAGATTTCAGTAATGGCTCTAACGTTTTATAGAGGTGGTCATGTGAGCAGTAGCAGTGTCTGAATTGTTGGCAAGCACTGTATTTATTATCCCAGCAGATTCACCAGAATGTGAATCAATTACCATGTTATCAGCCTCTCCTCTCAACTTAAACTTTCCCACCCTCTTTTAAAAAAAAAAAAAAAGACGTATCCTGTATCAGAAGGAATGACAACTGCAGTATGCTTGTGGGGCTAAAATCACCATTGCAATCAGTTCCCATACCTTAAGGCATGAACAGATTATCAGCCAGGGGACTGGGAAGAAATCCCATATTCCTTTTGAACCAGAGCGGGCTGCTGCTGGGTCACTGTAGTTTTAGCTTTGCTACCTATTGCAAAATACTACATTATAAGCACCATTTTCCCTTGTAGTTTTGTGTTTTAAAAAAAAGTCCTTACTTTATCTTTTAATGACGCATACCAAAACATTTGTAGATGAGCATGTAATATCTAGAATTCCTTCAAAGGAATCTAAGAGTGGGGATCTAAGTGGGGCACAGATGAAACAAGACTGGCCACGTGTTGGTCAGTCAGGGGATGAGTTTGTGGAGGGCTATGCCATTCTCTACATGGGTACGTGTTTGAAATTTTTGGCAGTAAAGAGTTTTTAAAAACACCATTTTTCATAGCAGTTCCCAGGCTGGTTTTCCAATGACCATTTTAGTCTGAAAGGCGAGCCTGGATTTTGATCCATGTTGCCATGTTATTATGTGGTTGGTAAGTGTCCTGATGTGACTAAATTGGATGATACACAGATGGATCAAATTCAAGCACATTGCCCTTTGCTTCTTCCCGGGATGGAGGGTGGAGCGGTGGGTGACAACATTCTGGAGCCCCACTGTCTGGCTTTGATACTCCTCCACCCACTTTGTAGCTGGGAGGCCTCAGGCTCTGGGTCCTGCTTCCTTCCCTATTGAAGAAGGAGTGAATAATAGTATCTACTTCGTGGGGTTGCTGTAAGGATTAAATGAGTAGCTCATAATAGGTGCTACATAAAGGCTTGCTGTGATCCTTCCTAGAACATGAATGATTGGATGCCCATTGCCAAGGAGTATGACCCGCTTAAAGCTGGCAGCATTGATGGCACTGATGAAGACCCACACGATCGTGCCGTCTGGAGGGCAATGTTGGCACGATACACCCCCAACAAAGGCGTCACAGGAGACCCCCTCCTCACCCTGTTTGTGGCAAGACTAAACTTGCAGACCAAAGAGGAGAAGTTAAAGGAAGTATTTTCCCGCTATGGGGACATCCGGCGGCTTCGGCTGGTGAGGGACTTGGTCACTGGCTTTTCAAAGGGCTATGCCTTCATTGAATACAAAGAGGAGCGTTCTCTGATCAAAGCTTACCGAGATGCAGACGGCCTGGTTATTGACCAGCATGAGATATTTGTGGACTATGAACTGGAAAGGACCCTCAAAGGGTGGATCCCTCGGCGACTTGGAGGAGGTCTGGGGGGGAAAAAGGAATCCGGGCAACTGAGATTTGGGGGGCGTGATCGGCCTTTTCGAAAACCCATTAATTTGCCAATTGTTAAAAACGACCAATACAGAGAGGGAAAAAGGGAAAAGCGGGAGCGATCTCGGTCTCGAGAAAGGCACTGGGACTCTCGGACAAGAGACCGAGACCACGACCGTGGCCGGGAGAGGAGATGGCAGGACAGAGAGCCAACCAGGGTGTGGCCAGAAAGTGACTGGGAGAGAGAGAGGGACTTCAGAGATGACAGAGCCAAGGGGAGGGAGAAGAGGGACCGAAGTAAATAGAGGCTCACCACCACCACCAGAACCCAGACGAAGACACAGCATAAATAGAAGCACGGAGAGATCTGTGTTGCTTTTATACAGTTTGAAACTATGTCCAGTGCTTGAATAAAATTTGCTGATGGTGATGAGGTCTGGAGTAAGTTTTCTTTTCGGTCTGGAACCGAGGTTCAAGCTGAACATGCTGATACTATGAATTTCTCTTCATCTTGTTCTAAGGACCCATTATTTAATAAACTTGGACAGTTTTGTCCTCACCAGCATCTATACAGAAGGGCATGTGGCAGTAGAGAATTCTCTTTTAATTTGGCAGTAAAGAATTGTTTTTGTGATTTTGATTCTCTCCTATCTGTTGGAATTGACCATTTTGGGGGCTTGGCAAAAAGAGGTGATGACCAAAAATCATTTGCATTGCTCTCAGACTCCTGGGAAACCCGAGTCTGATCAGAGTAACTTATATCTTTTCCATCTTTATATCTATAGTGTAAAGGCTTGCTGAGCTGAAATAAAAATGGGATAGAAAAGTGAATTCAGGGAGAATGTCCAGAACTTCATAGCAAAACCAGTGTGCGCAGTGGCCTGGGTCAGCAACCAGCTACTCTTGAACAAATATAACTCCAGTCTTGAGCCAAATGCTGACTGCCTTTTTTTCTTCGCTGTTTTGGGCAGGGAGGCTGGCATTTAAAATGAAAAACCAAAGTTGCAGGCCTCTGGGGCTCTGGTTTGTGAAGCTCCAAAGAAGTGAGCGTGAAACAGAAATGAAGAGAAATCTATGAAAGGCTTCTGTCTGGTTCTGATAGATTGATTTGTCTTCTCCCTCTTGGACATCCGGCCTCCCATTTGTTTGGGGGCTGGATATATTGACCTTAGTTTCTGAGGGCTTTGAAAAGTACCATGCTCTTCACAGGATTTTCACAGAAGTGACACTTAGCATTTTTGTTTTATCAATGGCTGTATCTTTGAAAGCTCAGGTTCTTAAAATTCAAGATGTTTCATGCAAAGTAAATGACTTAGTATCAAGACTCAACATATTCACGACTAGGTTTTTGCATTTGGAGTATGAATCTTGTTACATAGGGAACCTGCTCTATCTTAAAACTGTTAGCTGTTAGAACAGTTTTAGAAAAATAGACTCTTGGGGCACCTGGGTGGCTCGGTTGGTTAAGTGGCTGCTTTCGGCTCAGGTCATGATCCCAGAGTCCTGGGATCGAGCCCCACGTCGGGCTCCCTGCTCAGCGGGGAGCCTGGTTCTCCCTCTCCCTCTGCCTACTTGTGCTCTCTCTCTGTCAAATAAATAAATAAAATCTTTAAAAAATAGACTCTTTCCTTTGTAAACTTCCAGTGCAGAATTTTACCATCTCCCATGTCTCAAAAAACAGCCGCGCAGGAACACCCTTTTGATTTCACTCAGGTTTCACAAAGTGCTCCCTATTATGGCACCAAAAGTGTGTTATGGGCTAGAGTTGGTAGGTACTTCAGCTAAAAGAGCGCTCCACATCAAGGAAGCATGTGTGTCGAGACAGCATCAGAAGAAAGAAATCCAGTCATGGTATTTACCTTGTCCAAGCCAGCGGTTATCAACCCTGGGTACCAGAACATGGATGGATTACAAATATGCACACTCAGACCCAACCCTTGACATTCAGGCTTCATCTTGTATGGGCCTTGGGTAACCAAACAAAAAAAAATTGGTAGAGCCCCCACAGCAGGGACCTTAGCAGTAGCCACATGACAAAGGCATACACCCTATCACCTAGCAAGTAATTCTAGTTTATTCTGCAGACTGATGTATGTGTGCGAAAATGTGCAGTGCTGTTTTAGGCAGTAAAAGATTGGAAGGAAGCTCCCTGTCCATCACTGGGGCATGGACAAACATGAACAAATTATGCATCCACATGGTAGACCAGGGGTCCTTCGATCTTCACACTATTACATCTGGAAGATTCTTTGTTGTGGGGTGCTGTCCTGAGCACTGTAGGATGATGAGCAGCATCCTTGGAGCCTACCCACTGGATGACATAGCAGTTGTAACAACCAAAATACCAAAAACATCTCCAGACATTGTCAAATGTCCCTGGGGGACACTGAGACCCACGTCTTATGTACTGATGTGGTCATCTCCAGGGTATTCTAAGAAAAGAAAAGTACAGAATAGCACATATATAGTATGCTGCCATTTATGTTTAAAAAAAAAGGAAAAAATACATTTTGTTACATAACTGCATGTATATTTATAAGCTCTTTCAAAAAAGACACTCAAGAAACTGGCAACACTGGTTACTCCTGGGGAAAGGGCAGCTAAAGTTGGCCAGGGGGAGGGGGGTTCCTTCATACACCTGCTTTTATACTCTCAGAATCAACTGATAATTCTTGTGGGCAGTCAGGTTTGAGAACCACTGTGCAAAAGCAACATTATCCTGTCTGGTCGTTACTTTCAGCAGTCTGGAAACAGAGTCCCCGTCGACTCTAAACCAACCTGATGGTTTCTTAGCAATGTGTAGATAGTGGACCCGTCAGACGTACTTGAGTGTTGTTAGCAAATGCTACCTCTCTCAATCTGTCAGCACCCAGCCTGTGCCCTGGGTTCTCTGTGGGTAGAGAGACGGTGCTGTTTCGGCAAAACCCCAGCTCACCAGATGCAGGCTTCTGGCCCTCTGTCTGCCACCACAGCCCCATGAGTCAGCCCGACATGCGGTCCCCAAGCAATCTCTTCACCCACTGCCCTTGCACTGGCGAGCCTCCCGGCCTCCTCCCCAGTCCTGCATCCCCTAGGCTCCCCCACCCCATTCCAAATCCGCTCTGGTACACTTGTCTTAATAGGGGACTAAGTGTTTGATATATGGAAGGCTAAAAGGAAGAAAGAAGCCAAGGGGAAAAAATTACAAATGGGAAAGGTTGCAATGTCTTATCCTTAGCAACTCTGGTTCGTACTGCAGAACTCACAGCTGATTCCAAGGCACTCGCTCGCTACATGCTCCAGGCAGTATCAGTAACAAGATGCAAAATAGAACCACCGGCTCTTGCAAGTCATCTCCAGTTTCTGCGCTGGACTGTCGTCCATATTTTCTGTTGCTTCGCATCTAATCGGGGCCAGCTTGTCTGGTGACTTCGGAGGCCCCGCTTATCTAACGGATGCATCTTATATATTATGCTACCACCATGACAATTTCATGTATGATCTACTGAAAATCTACCACTTCCCTGCCTCCCACTTAAGTATGACAAATGTGTTAATAAAACCTCTACACACAGAATTTCATACAAAGCAAGTCAAACAGCAATTATAGTGGCATGTGATGTATTTGGCTTAAAGAAGCTTGTGTTACTGAAGTTAATGCAAAAGTCTGGCCTCTGCTCATGGTATTATTAAATATATATCCTAAGGGATCAGTCATCTATTATAAACGGTGATAGCCCTGGGTATAAATAAACATGTCTTTAGAGTTTGGCATCAGTTTTTCGGTGTGCTTTCCTCAAAGCAGACAGTCTGTTTTGAGGGATCAGTTCTGAGGGTGCATCTGAACCCAGAGGTGTGCAAGGTCGTGACACCTGGGGCTGCCAGGTTCCGCTGCAGGTGCTGGCGGGGGACAGTTCTGGTCCGAGGGCAGAGGGGGGCTGTGGTCACAGGTGCTGCAGGGCTTCCTGTCCTTGCTCCGTGTAACCGTCATCACGGTGGGAGTTGGCCCACTGGCCAAAGGACTCCTGGATGTGCACGTTCCTCTGCGTGTTGGCCAGACGCTTCTTGTCTCGGGAGAAGAAGCTAAACCTTTTTGGAAGAGAAAGAAAGAAATGAGAGCCGGTCCTTTGCTGTGCACTGTAGAGAGTTTCTGCCATGCCAGGACATACAGTAGCAAATGTGGAAGGAAGCACATCAATTCAAGGTGTGAAAGAAAAAGTGGGGGCGCGGGTCAGAGTTATTTGAGAAAGCAGCAGGGGATTCTGCATGTCACTGTCACTGAACCTGGGAGGTGACACAGTGTGAACGGGGCATGCACATAGGTGATGTGTGATGCATCTCCTCTCTTAGGCACTGCTGACGGTCTCTTCCCATTACCAGTGGAAATAAAAAATGACTAGAAACATACATCTGGAGTTTCCTTACCCTAATGATGCAGAGAAGGTAATAACTGAAAGCCACATAGAGTTTAAGATGATTCTGACATAAAGAAATGAATGTTTTTAATTTGTTATGTAACGTGAATCAGGAAAGTACATATGCAGCACATCAAAGCCCAGATTTTGTGGATATGACTGCTAGAGAGGAGCCGAAAGTAGGTATTTTAGAAAAATGAGACAACTGAAAAATAAGTAATAGTACACATGGTTCTGTCATTGGATAAACACTGTGAATATTGTATGCGAATGAAATTGGGGAAAACACCAATTTACAGTGTCAAAAACTGAATTACGGGCGAAAGCCTTTAGAAGTTAGCACTGTAGGGGCGCCTGGGTGGCTCAGTTGGTTAAGCATCTGCCTTCGGCTCAGGTCATGATCTCAGGGTCCTGGGATCGAGCCCCGCATAGGGCTCCCTGCTCCACGGGAAGCCTGCTTCTCCCTCTCCCACCCCCCCGCTTGTGTTCCCTCTCTCGCTGTGTGTCCCTCTCTGTCAAATAAATAAATAAAATCTTTAAAAAAAAAAAAAAAGTTAGCACTGTAACTTGCTACATGGCAGCAGCTAATGTAGACAAAGAGGGCTTTTTAAAACAGCTGTGATTACTGGGGCACCTGAGTGGCTCAGGTCATGATGTCAGGATCATGAGATCGCGCCCTGTGTCGGGCTCTGCTGGGCATAGAGCCTGCTTAAGATTCTGTCTCTCCCTCTCCTTCTGCCCGCCCGCCCCCACACTCTCTTTCTAAAAAAAAAAATTAAAAAAACAAAACCAAAACCAAAAACAGCTGCGACAACTGATCATTGATCAAAGTGAACCATCTGAAGCCTCAGAGATGAAGGAAGAAATCACAAACTGAGGGTTCTAGAGGGGAGGGGGGTGGCGGGATGGGTTAGCCCGGTGATGGGTATTAAAGAGGGCAGGTATTGAATGGAGCACTGGGTGATATACGCAAACAATGAATCATGGAACACTGCATCAAAAACTAATGATGTAATGTATGGTGTTTAACATACATAATAAAATAAAAGATGAAGAAATCACAGGCAAGCTTATAAACTGGCCCATTAAAAAAAAATTTTTTTTTTTTAATTTTACTTTAAGTAGGCTCCACACCCAATGTGGGGCTTGAACTCACAAGCCTGAGATTAAGAGTCACATGCTCGGACTCCCTCTCCCTCTCTCTCTCTCTCTCTCTCAAAAAATAAATGGGCCAGTTTAGGGGTGCCTGGCTGGCTCAGTCCATAGAGCATGTGACTTTTTTTTTTTAAGAGAGAGAGAGCATGTGCAAGGGTGGAGGAGCAGAGGGAGAGGGAGAGAATCTCTCAAGACCCTGAGATCATGACCTGAGCCGAAATCAAGAGTTAGACGCTTAACTGACTGAGCCACCCAGGCACCCCAAAACTGGCCCAGTTGAAACAAGGTCTGCTTTGGCCCCACCTCCACAAAGACCAAGACCTTGGCCAGTAAACCTGACGTGGCCCACCTTGAATTTCCCCCAAAAACCTTTCCAGAATTGCCCACTGTCCTTTGATACTCCTACTTTCTAATGAGATTCATTCTACTCTCACCGAGTTCTGCTACTTTTGAATTTTGGTTTCTGAACTTGGTAAGAGAGATAATAGCTATGTTATGTTTCTCAGGGGGGCAGGAAGGAATAGGAATGCACTGCTGAGAAACTGAAGCTTCAGATCAACTATTTTTAGTTCTGTCTGTTCACCCAGTAGCCTTTTTTTTTTTTTTTTTTTTTTAAGTGCTGTGGCCTATGGAGTTCAGTTGTAATCACATCTGGGTGCAAATGATTTTACTATTCTGTGGTCACTGGCCCCTACGATCACCTCCTACCAGGAATAAAGTGGTCTTTCATCGAAAGCTGGGGCAAGCCGAGTGTATGTGGAGAAATTCCGGCTAAAGTTTCTTTTCTCTACAACAGATATGTGCACTGACAAATGAAGGCGCAATGTTCACACTGGGTTATTTGTGAGCTCTTTCCATGGTGTAATGAGGGCAATTAGCTGGCCAAAAATACAGCAGCAACACATCACTGTTACATTTCACCTCTACCTGACTCACACAGGAAAGCCATGTGCCACTCCCTGTCCAAGGGGACACAGAGAGAAACAAAGCATTGGTCCCCTCCTCTGCTCTTCCTTTTTAAAAAGACGACCAAATGGCTTTCTGGCGATGGCTTGGCAAAACAAAGCAGTTTAGAAAGCTGGGGCATGAAGGTCGAAGACACAGCGTTAGTGTCACTCGGGGGTGGGGGTCACCGTGGGCACTGATTACTGACCCGTCACTTAAAGGACCTTCTTTACTGGATCATGGACAAGGTGGTTTTTAGAATGGAAACAGAAAAAAGACAAAAAGAATTATCGGTGACAGAGCCGAGAATGCCATGGCTTCACTCGTGCATGTCAAGACTCACGAGGGCACGTTTGAAATCACACTCGACACCACTTCCAACGGGAACACGCAGGTGATGGCCATGCAGCTAAAGTGGCCAAGGAAGGCGGGCCAGCCTCAGCAGAGCCGAAGCACACATTCCGGGGGCACAGCTCAAAACGGACCCACAAAAACCCAGTGCCTACAAGGGGAACAAGTCTTCGGACGGGCTGCAGTGTGGGGTCATCTATTATCAGTCCAGCTGCTACCATGGGCATTATGGCTGTAAAGATCCTGGTTAGAGAAGTACAGATAGACACAGAGAAGATAAAAACAGGGAGGCATGAAAAATAAACACACTACACACACAGGCCAGCTGAAGGGTTTGCTTACGGCAGATGTCATGGGTGGAACTGTGTCCCCCTCCCAGAACTCACGGTCAAGTCCTAACCCCCAGCAGCTCAGAAAGCGACTCTTCGGAGAAAGCATCCTTGTAGAGGTAACACGTTAAGATAAAGTTATCCTGGAGAAGAGTGGGTCTTTTTAAAAGGGGGAAATCTGGACACAGATGCTCCCACAGGAGGACCGCAAGGTGAAGATGAAGGCCAGGGTCCAGGCGATGCTTCTGCGGATCCGCAAAGATCCGCAGCAAAAAGATCGCCAGCAAACCACTGAAGCTAAAGAGGCACGAAACGTTCTCTCTCACAGCCCCTGCCGACACCTGGGTCTGAGGCTCCTCGCCTCCAGAGGCCTGAGACAAAGCGTTTGGGCTGTGGAAGGCTGCCTGCTTGTGATACTTGACTGCGGAGGCCCTCGGGGCTGAAAAGCAGGCCTGGGGTTGGGAAGGAAGGAGTCAAACCTGCCGTGGGTTAGTGGCGACACCCTCGGGTCGTCTCCCCCGACTGCCACACACTGCAGGCTCCACGCCCCAAAGAAGGCAGCCAGGGGGCATCCAAGGGAGAAGATGAGGTGGCCCGGGTAGTCCGGGCAGGAGAACTGAGGCAGAGAGCCTGCGTAAGTCAGAGCTGACAGTGAATACTCATCAGTCTCTTGTCTTGGCAAGGAGAATGAAGAAGACTCCAGTCAAGCCACCAGAGCTGATTTTGAACTACGATTTCTTTTTTTTTTAAGATGCTGGCTGGGAAGAGAGAGGAAGGACTGTTTCAGATGAGGCTGGGGATTATCTGTGTTTGGATTTACCTCCGATACACTTCATGGAGTAGCTGGGAGTTGGCATCTTGGCAGAACCCACATGGGTATCTTCTCGTGGTGATGAGAAAAGCGGATACCTTTTGTCAGACAAATGGGCCCCATCCCCCGAGGACAGGCTCTCAGGGGCTCCAGCCACACGGTTTTGCACCGGCCTCTACCAGAGCCCCTCTCGGCCTAGCAGGAACCCCCAAAGACACAGTCATCGTGCAGGGTGGCCCCAGACCCAGGGTGACATGTTTGCCTGCCTTCACTTGGGGTCCCACCAGGGGTCAGACCAGTGCCCAGGGGCCTTGGGACGCCTGGAGGGTTCTGGCTGACTAGCCATATGTGTCGCTGGACGCACGGCCCCCTTCCTTCCTATTCCAGGTGCCTCCCTGCAGGAACCACCTCCTCTAGAAGGACAGCCCCTTCCTTGAAAAAAGGCTGGCTTGTTTCGGTCGAACGTTTATGTCCTGGACATGGTGTAGCTGGCTTTACTGACTTCCTCCCCACTGACCATTTCTAGAAGACTCAATCCAAATGAAGTTGCAACAGTGGCGTTTCAGGCGGTGCAACGGGCGGGGCTGTGAAGAAGCTATTTCTGGGCTGAAGCGAGGAGGGCGGTGGGTAGGAGGACAGGGACAGAATGCACTGTTGCCATGACTGCCTGATGCTTCGGGGCCGCCTACTCCGAAGGCCACCCTTGCCGGCATGTGTGACCAGCTATTCTGCTCCATCGCTTCCGTGGCTGTCCCCGTGTCCCCACTGCCTGCTCCCCCACCCCACCCCGGCTCAGCCCTCCGCCCCGGCTCCGCAGAAAGTGTGTGAGTCTGTAGGGACCAAGAGATGCAGACCACACAAAGGGGGGCGCTGGTGCCTGGTGGCCACCGGGGACAACACTGGAGCCACTCCGTGCTCCCTCGTGACCTTCCCAGGCGGTGCCAACCTGGACTCTCCGGCCAGCAGCTGCTCAGTCACAAGCTATTCTTGGACCGTCTTCTGTTTTGACCAGAAGCAGGGGTTTCTGGTTCCCTTCACCAGTTCAGCCCAGAAACGTAGACGCTGACGTCCCTGGCTTGCGGTGCAATTGAGAGATAAGGGAACTGGGCAGTCCGCCCGCAGCTAGTGACTTGGCACAGGGTGAGGAAATGGGCGGGGGGGGGGGGGCGGGAGGCAGAAGGCATGGGTTCAAATCCCAACTTTGACCCTTCCCAGTGGTCTGCTCTAAAGGAAGTCAATGGGCTTCTCCGGGCCCGTGACGCATCTGAGAAATGGGGCTAATCATCCCAGCTCTGAGTTTCTGACAGGGTGGACAATACCTTACTTCAGGTGGTGTGAGCCGATGAATAAAGCCCCTTCAAACCTCAGTGGGAGTTATTGCTCACTTGCCGGTGGATGGAGGAAACCAGGCAAGGGCGTGAAGCTGAGCTGGAAAGCAGCCATGACCTGTATTGGAAAGGCCATGTGACTAATATGCCTCAAAAGCAAGGGCGAAGGGACAAATGGACCCTAAGGAGTGCCAGAGGTGGGAGGGATGGAAAGGGAGGTAGGCATGGAACAACCGTCTTGAGAACCGCCATTCCCTGCCCCAGCCCCCACGGAAGATAGGTCCCTGCCCCTGGCTCTGGGCTCTGGGTTCGCACTGCTGCAGCTCCCAGTCAGCAGCCGAGCTGGACAAAGGCACCAGTGTCCTGCCTGGGCTGGTCAAAAGCCTTTTGTGCCAGCCTGATCATCCAGTCATCTGCTAGAAGGCCGGGGTGGCCACGGGACTGGCCACCTGCACCCTCTGGACGGGGTTTTCTGATCTCTCTCCCTCTCTGTTTCTCTCTCTCTGGCTCTCCAGTTCCAGCTGTTCCTACTGCCAGGCTCAGAGCCCTAGGTCTTGCTGAGCAGAAAGAGGCCACACTAAATGGGAGAAGGGCCGAGCATCCTTTGTGGAACAATCTGGAAAAGAGGATTTGACACCACAAGCTCCTTAAGGTGTGGGTAGAAGAACCAGTGGGAAGAAGAAGATTGCTAGCTAATTCTGATTACTTTCCTCTGGATTTTACCCAGTTGGGGATTTGCAAAAGCCAACTCTTAATTGCCTTTCTGTGAGGAAAGGGGGCCGGAGCAGAAAACTACAAAATCAGTACAGCCCGGCTTTGGAAGGCAGGCTTAGAAATGCGGATGTCTTAGAATTACAGTGCTGGAGGCGTCCTGCATGCGGCACACGTGGAGATGCTAAAAAGGCCTGATTTTTAAAGACCTGCCAATGAACAGCTCAAGGAAGCACAGGGATGGTCTCTTGGTCCTGCCCCTCCTCAGCCCAGGGGCGGACTATGAGGGCCCATGAACTTTTTCTCCGCTCCCCCAGCTTTTCACCCAAAGTGATAGCTGTTGAAACACAAAATTGATTATGCTCATCCTTACCTGTGCGTGGGGCCAGCAGGTGGCTCAGAGTTTAAGCAAAGTCAATCCCATTTCTTAGCACTGGATGAGAAACCCTACCCAAAGGCGAGTTTCCCTGGGTACCGAGTACATCATACATTGAGACCGAAGGGCTTCCCCCTCCCCCATGATTAGGCTACAGTGGACACCCATACCTTCTGTCTGCCTAGCCCTCTGATCTGCATGGGGCCCATCCTTCCCCTAATTTCAGTCCATCTGAACCAGACCGAGTTAGAGCTATCCCAGCCCCAGGCATGAGGAGGAGACCCTGACCTGGCCGATGGATGCACTGCTCTGTGGTTGGCATAGAGGCCATGTGACCCGGTCTGAGCCAATGAGACTCGATTCCATGACTGCTGTGGAAAATTCTCTTCCCACTGGAGTTTCAGACCAAAGAAAGTAGAAGCCTGAGCTGATGTCTGCCATGTTGCCACCCTGAGGGACAGCGTGTCCAAGAATACAGCCCACATAAGGAAAACCAAGCCAGAGGTGGAGGAAATGAAGCAGAGCCCTGATGACAAGGCCTGGATCCAGCTGAGCCTGAAGCCAGCCTGGCCTGGGAATTCTGGGTTCCTTAGCCAACAGTTTTCTTTTCTTTTTTTTTTTTTAGCCAACAGTTTTCTTAAGTTACTCTGAGCTGATTTTCAGTTGCCAATGTTAGATTACTAATATGTAGCCAAATGGTGTTAGGATTCAGAGGAAGCTTTTCTGGTTCCAAGCTTCACTCCTAATAAAGTGCCGACCTCTAACCAGAACTGGGGACCCCACGCAGAGATGCAGGGCCAAGCAAATAAGCAATGTGAAGCTGGCAAGAAAGGCTGGGGAAGGGGCCATGTGCTCCCGTGCACACTCTACAGGACCGCCACCCCCTCCCAAGAGGAGAGGCTCGGGCAGTCACAGGGCTGCACACATTCTGTATTGCCCTTCCCGTCCACCATCGCTGAGCATCAAGTCACTTCACGGGGTCAGAGCTAGCCAAGAATTTCCCAATGTAACTGGTTTTTAAAGGTTGAAGCACCCAAGTAACACCCCAATTGCTCTCCCCACATGCTCCCGGTGGCTTTCCAACCCACGCCGCCTGCTTTCACAAGGCTTCTGCCAGAGTTTGGGAGAAAGAGAGGAGGCCTCTTCTGTAATAAGTCGTGGGTACAGATGGAAGGCCAGGAGCCAGAAGACCCTCTTGGGGGAGATAACAGGCTACAAGACAATGGTGTGAGTGTGCGTACCCGGCAGATAGTCTGAAATGTGGGCTCTGGGGCCAGGCTGCCTAGGTTTGAACCCTGGCTCTGCCTCTTAATAGCTGAATGTCCTTAGGCAGCTGCCTCAGTTTCCTTAGCTATAACATGGGAATGACAGTGCCTCTACCTCACAGGGGTATGGTGGGGACTCGATGAGCTCCTCTCTCTGCAGGAACGGTACCTGGCAGACCATAGCCAACCAGACCAGAGCTTTTCACCCTTTATCTGAAGGGCTGCAAGGCTCAACAAACCTGAAACTGTATGCACAGCTGTATGTGTGGTTTCTCTCCTCCCCCAAGGAGAGGGTCTACAAACTCTCTGAATCTCAAAGGGGTCTTTGAGAACCGCTCAAGTAGCTTTAAGTCTGGTTGAACGCAAGGTTGAGTTCTTTCGTTCTTGTGTGTTCCCCATAGCAAACATGGCCTGACTCTGCATGGCTTATGTAGGAATAAATACTTTCTTACGGGAGGGTGGGGGAGTCGTCACAGAAATGCACAGATGGGGTGACCAGGGGCCATTCCAGGCCTTTGCAAGCTGGGGTTGCAGGCCCTTCGGATGCATGAATCTCCCCCGCCAGCCTCATTTGCTGCCCAGAGACACACCCCACCTGACACACTCAAGCCCTGAACCTCAGCCACAGGCCCCACCCCCTTTCCATCCTCTCAGCCTTACCCAAACCTCTCTGCCTGGGAACCCCCCTGGAGGAACTCAGCATTCAGGTGCAGAGATGAGCTCCAAGTCGAGGGCCAGGCCCCACGTGCTCCGGGGTTAAGCCTGTCTCAGCAGGAGGTGGTTAGTGACAAGCCTGGCCCCGGAGCAGGTGCCCAGAAGCGAGAGGCTGTGTGCACCACCAGGTGGGCTGTGCGCGAGCAGCCCTACACTCTAGAAGCAGGTCACTTACAGTCGCTTGATCCCAGACTCCGGCTGGGGGGACATTCTCGGGTGGACGACCGGTGGAGGTTGGGGTATTCGATTTTCCTCTTCTATTTCTTCACTGGAGAGAGTTGAGAGGCGTGAGATAAGAGAGTCAAAAATTCTGTGAGAGCTGGAATATTCCAGAAGGGTATTTGTCTAATGGTCTGGGAGGGCTTATACTGGGAATAGGGGGACCTAGGAAGATGGCAGAAGTGGCCTGTACCCCAACAGTCTCTTTGCCTGGGGGGTCTGGCCTCTTAGCAATGGGCATGGCCAGCTAAGAGAAGGGGTCAACCCTGGAGGCAGTGGATGTGGGTGCCTGTGGTCCCTTTGGCCCAGTTGGTCAAATGTGAAGAATTTCAAGAAAGGAACCCCCATCTCAAAAAGGCAATTTTCAGTTTCCTTTGAAGAATCTAGCCACACAGAACTACTTCCTGTCTCCTGTCCTTGACAAATGCTGTCTCCATACCTTTGTGTTTCTTCCATCTGGAATATGGCACCCACCCCTCAACATCTCCCATACCTGAACAGTACCCTATCCTTTAGGGAAAGCCCAGTTCAAATGCCACCCCCTCCATGAAGCCTTCTTGATTTCCACCCCATCCCTGAGAAGTGATCTCTCCCTTTGAACAGCCAGTGCACACAGTATCAGTAAAACTTTCTTATGTGCCAGGCATACAGTGGGTTTTCAATAAAAATACGTGGTACTATATCTTCTGTGCATCTCTTATTTTCCCTACTGGATCAGGGGCCACATCTGGTGCATCTGTCCTTCTGGCTTTCCATTCAAGAAGTATTTGTTGTGCACCTACTCTGTGCTAAGCTCCATTCTAAACTTGGAAACTTAGCCATGAACAAGACAAATATGCTTTCTCGTCTCATGTTGTCATAGTCTGTTATGGAAACAGACAATAGAACAAGCACATTAATGAACAGGATTAAAGTAAGATGGTGAAGGTCCATGAAAAAAGTAAAACCGAGCAAAGTGACAGTGACTGGAACAGGGCACTCCTTTGGATGAGTGGTAACGGGGAAGGAAAACTCTCTGAGGAGGTGACCCCTGACCTGAATCCTGAATGACCAGGAGTCAACCATGAGAAGAGCCCAGGGGAACGTTTCCCCAGCTGCAGGACCAGCATATGCAAAGGTCCTGAGGTAGAAACAAGTGTGGACTGTTTTAAGAAACCAGTAGAGGGATAGTGTGTATGAAGCTGAACAAGTATGTGGCAAGCACGCCCGAGGAACTGGACTCACTGAAATGTGAACAGCCGCAGGGCTAGTGGCCTACCATATCAGACAGGGCAGCTCTAGTAAGTGCAAGGAGTTCACTGGCCGTGGGCTGAATGAACAAATACTTCTCTAATCTACAATTCTAAAATCCAAAAAGCTCTAAAAATGAAAATTCACTTTTTGGTCATTCATTTGGTGGCAGAACGTGAAATGAGCTCTCATGAGCCTGCTTATCATGGTTATTGATCGCATGTAGTACGAACATTCACATCTTTTGCTGTGAAAATATTAACGTGTTTGATGTTGGGGAGCTGTCCCACATCCTGGGGGCGGATGTTATCTATACACCATCTGTGGACTATTCCTTTCTCACAGCTGCAAAGTTCTGAATCATAAAACGCACCTGGGCCTAAGAGTTTCAGAAAGGGCTTGTGAGGCGTGTGTGTAAGTCCTTCCGGCCCGACAGGGTCCCCGGAACGGAGACAGGTGCAATCCCTGTCTTCCCAAGACCTACAACCCCAGAAAGCAGCCAGCCTGGGGGCTCCCGGGGACGCTCACCTCTTGTAGTACGTCAGCTCCTCCTGCAACAGAAACACTTTGGACTTGAGTTCGTTCCTCTCGTGTAGTACATCCCGCAGCTCCTGCAGCGTGAACCGGGGGCGGTTGGGGTCCTTGAGATCCATGGCCACCTTCTCCGCCTCCGAGGCACACTCCTCCCCGCCCAGCTCCGTCTGGAGGAGGCAGAGATGCTGCTAATGAATTCCTGGCGGCCACCGGCAGCGCCCACTCCACATCCTGCCAGAGCCCAAATTTCCCACCCTCCCGGGGCCTCTGCAGCTTGCCGGGGGCGCTATTTTAAGAACTCGCGGGCGGCCTGTGCTCACGTTTGTGCAGTCGGCGTCCCTTTGGAGACGAAAGCCAGCGGCCACCTGTTCATTGTTCGCCTTCTCACTAGCTAGACCTGGGGTCCTGGTGCCTCCCCACCTGACTCAGGGTCTTCTTACAAATAACATGAAAGGGAGTCCAAGGAGAAGAAAACAGCATGGCTCAAATGCTGCCACCCTCATCAATCTGCTTTCCTTTTCCCACATTCTCGCCTCATATTCTTACTAAGACCATTGCTAATTTAGCCAGAGTTGTTAGAATTAGAGCTCATGCACAATTTTCTCTGCCTTTTTCTTTTCTTTTTTTTTTTTTTAAAGATTTTATTTATTTATTTGAGAGAGAGAATGAGAAAGAGCACATGAGAGGGGGGAGGGGCAGAGGGAGAAGCCGACTCCCCGCTGAGCAGGGAGCCCGATGCAGGACTCGATCCCAGGACCCTGGGATCGTGACCTGAGCCGAAGGCAGTCGCTTAACCAACTGAGCCACCCAGGCGCCCCTCTCTTCCTTTTTCATCTGGCATTAAGTCACATATGTTTTCCCATGTGTTACTGGCCTTCTGGTCAAGCCCTCTCCTCCCCCAAGGCTAAGGGCATCTGTGCTCTGGAGGTCAGTGGGAGCCGGGGGGGGGGGGGACAGGTAGGAGCATAGCAGGTGTGAGATGCAGGGCATTTCTCTTCCATGCAGGTCACTCAGATGGATCCTACCATGCTAAATCACCTGCCCCAGGCCAGACCCAAACCCTGTCCTCCCTCTTTCTCACAGCAAGAAGGTTTTTTTTTTTCCCCCAAAAAAACCCAAACTGTGGTAATAATATACACTTAACATAAAACTGACATTTTAAAATATACAATTCAGTGGCGTTTAGTACATTCACAACGTTGTGCGATCACCACCTCTGTCTAGTTCTGGAACATTTTCATCTCCCCCAAAGGAAACTCCATACCTATTAACAGTCATTCCCTAATCCCTCCCACCCCCAGCCCCTGGTGACCACCATCTGCGTTCTGTCTCTATGGATTTGCCTTTTCTGGACATTTCGAATAAATGGAATCGTACAGTATGTTTCCTCTTGTGCTTGGCTTCTTTCAGTTAACATGTTTTCAAGGTTCATCCATGCTGTAGGGAGTCAGGGCTCTTATTTCTTTTCATGGCTGAATACTATTCCCATGTATGGATATGCCACGTTTTATGTATCCTTTATCCACTGATAGGCATTTGGGCAGTTTCCACCTTTTGGCTGGTGTGAATAGTGCTACCACGAACATCTGTGCACAAGGATTTGTCTGAACACCTGCTCCCAGTTCTTCCGGGTGGGTACCTAGGGGTGGAGCTGCTGGGTCACATGGTGACTCTGTGTGTGGCTCTTTGAGGAACGGCCGAACTGTCTTCCACAGCGGCTGCCCCACTTTTCACTCAGCAGCGGAGGAGGGTTCCACCTTCGCCACATCCTTGCTAACTCTTGTGTTTTTTTCCCCCATTTTTTTTTTATTTATTTATTCATGAAAGTCAGAGAGAGAGAGAGAGGCAGAGGCAGAGGGAGAAGCAGGCTCCCCGCCTAGCAGGGAGCCCGATGCGGGACTCGATCCCAGGACCCCGGGATCATGACCCGAGCCGAAGGCAGACGCTTAACCGTCTGAGCCACCCAGGCGCCCCTCCCCCATTTTTTGAAAGCAAGGAAGTTTTGGCAAGCTGCCCCCAGGTCAGCTGGCCAGATCCGCAGGTGGCCCATACTCTCCCGGCGTTCCTGACACCCTTGAACCGCCAGTATCCCATCATCCACTGGAAGGAGTGGACACAAGTTCAGGACAACAGTGGTGAAGCTCTGGAACAGGGGAATATGGGATTGAAATAGAGACACCCCCCCCCCCCCCAAACCCCCACAGCAGCACAGGGAGAAAGGCACTCCGACCCAGATGGTGACACAAGGCCAGGACGTTGAAGGACCCAGGAAGGCAGAGCCGAGATGCCTGTGTCCTGGGAGTCAGGACGGGCTGTTCTGGGAAAGGACACTTGAAAGGAGACACCACGCACCAGGGCAGATCAGGTGACAGAAGAGTCGCCCAGCAGGGGAGGCACGTGGCTACAGCAGAAAATGGACACCTGACAGATGGGCAGTGGAGTGGGGCTCCCACCCAAGAAGTAGGGGAGGAAATGTTGGACGATATAACGTCCCAAGAAGGTACTCGAGGCACCTGCTGATGCCACACCTTCAGGGGGGGCTGTGTCCTCAGGGTTCGTCTTCGGCGTCCACCTCCTACAGAGCCGCATAGCCGGACGGGGTCCTCTACCCAAGGCCGTGCAGAGCAAGTAGCTGGTATTCAGCAGCACTCACTAGCACTGGATCCCTTCTCTTCCCCCGCCCGGGTTAGCCACAGAGCATCCCTGAAGGCCTGTAATGAATATTCAATGAATACATGGCTGTCTCAGTAAACACTGGATGTCTCGATAAACATTCAACATTCATCGAGCATCAACTCTGTGCCTGCTGGGCACTGAGCTGATGAGATGAATCCGGTGGGAGTGGAAGGAAGAGACACACAGAGGAAAACTTACAGGGTCAGATGATAAGAGAGGAGCAAGGACATCAAACTCTAACTGGGAAGGATCATGGAAGACGTTACTGCAGATGTGGTCTCTGTGCATGGGATCTTGACGAATGTGTAGGAGTTCACCAGGAAGTTTGGGCCCAGCCCGGCCCCCACACACATTTTGTTTGGCCTTCACTGTGTTCTAGAACTTTTTTTTTTTAATTTTTTAAAAAATTTATTTATTCATGAGAGTCAGAGAGAGAGAGAGAGAGAGAGGCAGAGGCAGAGGGAGAAGCAGGCTTCCCGCTGAGCAGGGAGCCCGATGTAGGGCTCGATCCCAGGACCCTGGGATCATGACCTGAGGCGAAGGCAGACGCTTAACCATCTGAGCCACCCAGGCGCCCCTCTAGAACTTTTTGGAATTAGTTTCCAACAGTTTTATATTGGGGGATTTCACACTAAAGTTTGGGTCTTGGGCTTCCTTTTGGAAAGAATACTGGAAGATTGGGTCACACTAGGTCCACATGGTAACACTGGGCTGGTCCTACGTGGCAGCTATTGCCTTCTATGTATTCTTTCCAGCCTGCTCAGCCCCTACCCCTTTTTCCTTCCATGCCTGGGCCCCATAGGCACTGGCAGCCCAGGCTGTGGACCCAAACCTCAGGCTCACACACTTCCTCCGGACACAGCCGGTTTCTGCTTACCCCCATGGGTTGTGAGCACCCAAGACATCGAAGGGCTTCCTCAGGCCTGAGGTCTTTTTCTCTGGAGGAGGGATGGCTCTTCAATCAGGGTAGCAACCCGATGCCCTAGAGCTTGGGGGATTCCCAGACAGGTTTGCAAAAAAAGCCCCGACTTCCAGGACCATTGCCTGGGAGTTGCAGCTTTGCTGGAAGCCAGCAGGCACTAATACAGCGCCCTTGGATGGGCCTGTCCTGGGAGAGAGACTGAAAAGGCTCTTTCCAATATGGAAATCAGGCCCATCGGCAGTGGGTCTTCTAGGCTTACTCCACGAGGGACCACGGAGGTGCCTGGGGTTATCGAGGATTGTCCGCTGGTCCCCGGAGGCACTTTGGGCACAGAGGGAGATGCCCTGAGGCCCCAGGCACTCCCCAGGGAGGCCCAGGAGACCCCGCTGACAAGCAGCAGGACCAGAGTGGCCAAAATGGAAGCAATATCCTCCACCAGAGACCCGCGTCCTTAGGCCTGGCCTCTTGGACCCACTCCCCCCACGTGGGCACATCAAGGCCACAATGCTCCGGCAGCCCCTTGAACATACTTCTGAACAGCCCCTGGCCCAGCAAGGGGGAGTGACTGTGCCCTGGTCACCCCCAGTAACTTCTAGGCCCACCATGCATACATTCAACCAGAAAACCTGGCTTCACACGCCAACCATTAGGCCCCATCTGCTTTCCCCGTGCACTTAAACAACAAACACACACTTACGAAGACATCAGAATTTGTAAGGCACAGACGTCAAGTAGGTAACTATTAACGTCAGTTTTCTTACTGGTTTTATATGAAGTCTTTAGACAGGGAGCCCACCAAATCATTTTCTTAGGAGTTTCTATGTCTACCTGTGAAAGGCAGGAAGCTTCCATGTGAAAACATGAGGAGCTGGATGAGTGAGAAAACACTGAGCGAAGAAGCTGGTCAGGACCACATGTCCCACGACTCCGTTTCCCTGAAATGTCTGCAGCAGGCAAATCCGTAGAGACAGAAAATAGCTTCGTGGCGGCCAGGGGCTGCAAGGGGCAGAGATGGGGAGTGGCTACTTGTGGGTATGGCGTTTCTTTTTACGGTGATGGAAACGTTCTAGATAGTGGTGTTGGTTGTACGAGAGAGTAAATATACTAAAACCCGTCGCATTGTATACTTTCAATAGTTGAATTATATCTCAATAACTATGTTACAAAAATATACCAGGAGCTTTGTTTACTGGCGATCACAGTGAAATGACAGTGACATAGCTCAGAAAGGACTGCATGAATCAAGGGGGAGAACTGGAGTAATCTAGGCATTGATGAGAACGGACTCCTCCCCAGCTCTGGATCCCTCCATAGCTCCCGTCTCCTCTTACCAATCTCGTGCCAGGACTAGCCCACCACCCCAGCCGCACCTGCTCATTCTCCAGTCTGGCTCACGTTCTTTCTCCTGTCTGGGGTGGCCTACCCCCACATTCCACCCCAGACATCCTACCCATCCCGTAAGACCCATCTCAATGCCTTGAACACCTGCCCTGCCCTCGCTTCCCACTGAGAATTCATTGTGCCCTCCTCCAATCCCACGGCCCTTGATCCCAGCCACACTATTTGATCTACTGAACCAAGTCAAGCTCATTCCCCTCACTTATCAGACAGGAAGCTGAGCACCAAAATGATGCATGAGCCCCAGGTCACACAGCTGCAGGTGGAAAGCCACCATGGCCTGCGGCTTCCCTGTTTGAGTGACAAGCACCTTGAACTCCACCCAGCTCTGAGGGCGGGAGTCAAACCCAGCAAAGGCGCCCTGAGGTTGGGAACAGACTCTGCAAAGCAGCTCAGTGGGTTAATTGTAACTGCTACCTGACTTTACTCCTCCATTTCTGTGCCCCCCCGCCCTCCTCTTTCCAGCAAGAGAAACTGAAACAGACAGGCAGGCGGGCCAAGGAGGTATGACATGTCCCTGTCCTTGTTGCTAAGTAGAGTGTTGTGGCTGGGGTAGTGTCCTCAGGACCTGGGTTTCAACCGAGCCCCTACTGCCCAGGAGCAGACAGGCCTGAGTTCTCATGGGGCACAAGAGGTTGGAAGGGGTACACCAGGGGAGGAGAGGAGTAACTGTGCCAAGCTGCCTAGCGGCTGTTTTTGGCAGCTGCCTCATCCCCTGCATCCCACTGCCATAGATTTGGGTCAGCCCTTGACTTTCTTGCCTGGATTATTGCAAAGGGCTCCCAACAGCCATGTTCTGCCATCAGCAACCTCCTTGTTCAAACTGTCCTCCATAAACTCAGAGCTGATCCCATTATTCCCCTGCCGAAGCCTGTGGAGGGATCCACATTCCCCATGGCCCAGAGCTGCGTGTGTGGCATTCCGGGCACTGTAGGCAACAGCTGCGTCTCTGCCTGCCCTGCATCTGTTTCCGTACTTCTCGGGGCTGAGTCCTTGCAGCTGTCCTCTGGAGAAACTCCCCTAGCCCCACTCTCAGCACACGAGGCATGGATGGGCACCACGAGGGGTAGCCATATGACTCAGGAATGGACACCATGCATATTCTAGACCTCAGGCCACCGTGACTGGTTCAGTGATGGGCTGAGGAGAGGGTTTCCTGAGACTTGCTGGGAATTTGGGAAAGAGGCAACTTCTTTTCACTGGGGTTGCAAAGCTGATAAGAGTACCAAGGGCCACGATATGGCATAGCCTACCTGAGAACACCAACACAGAGGAAAGCAAAGCTGAGACATCTGATAGCATCATTTGGGCACCTGGAACCAGCTATACCTGAAGCCATTCTTAACTCAAAAGTTTTTAGCTATACAACCAAAAATTCTTTTTTTAAATCCTTAAACCCATTTTAATTTAGGCTTCTGTCATTTTTGGCCAAAAACTAGCCCTAACCTCTCCCTTTTAAGACTTCGTTCCCTTACCTCCCTAACTGTATCCCAGGTTCCTGTCCTTCAGAGAACCTAGAAGTGTCTGGCCTGAAAGATTCCTACTGACTGTGCTGGCACTTGGGCCAACCTGATGGTGAGCTCATCTGTCTTACCTCCCCGACCTGTAACCAGGAAACTAGCACAGTGCCTGCAAACTGGAAACAGTCAATAAATATTTGCTGGAAGAAAGAGTAAGCCCCGACCTCTGCCCTAAGAGTCCACTATGCTTTTCTGAAGCAGCATATCCATCATCTTCATCTACCTCTCAAAATCTTAGCATTGTGAACACTGACATCCAGCTGAAGGGACAGCTCTTCCATGAAACTGCACACCACCCCCATCAGGATTAACTGTTCTACTTCTGCGTTGCTGGCACCCCCCCCTGGGGGGCACATCTTTGGGGGAGACACCTCTGCCACCCCATGTCGCAGCCCTGGGCCCATGTGGATTTTCGCTACAGCTGTGGTGTAGTCCCACCCATGCGGATGGGGCCCCGCCTCAAGCACACACTGCATGTTTTCCCACTCATGCCCTGAGATCTGCTCTGTAAGTTCCACCCAGGAATATCAGGGAGATAACACCCCCGGGGGCTACCCTCAGCTACTGGGGGCAGGTGCAGGCAGATAAATTTATGTTCCAAGCCTTTCTCCTCCAGAAAGACGGTTCTGGGACATGATCTATGTGCTTCTCAGAGGTCCCAGCAGGACTGAGCTCCCACCGCAGCCCCAATAACACACACTCAAATTCACTTTTCCTTCTCCCCTGTCTCACGCCTCTGATCTCCTGCCCATTTTCCTTTTCTCAAGCTCTGCTTCAAGGGAACCCAGACGAAGACAATCTCTTACCACTAAGACAGTCCCCTCCCACCTTAAGTGTGATGCCACTTGGAGGTGCCCAAGTCTGTCTCCTACACTGGGTTGTAAGCTCTTTGAAGCTCCACAGTACTCAGCACAGTGCTCTCAGGTAGAAGACCAAACTCCACTCTGTGGCCTACCTGGCCCGCAGGACTGACCCCTACCTATCTCTCTGACCTCACTCAGACCTTCTTCCTCCTCCTCCCCCTGCATACCAGCCACCCTCGCCTTCTTACCCTTTCTCGATTCCATTGCAATTTCTCCTGCCACAGGGCCTTTGCATGTGCCACCCCCCTGCCTGGAACTCACTCTCCATTCACTTGTTTCCTCTCATTCTTTTAGTCACTTCCTTCGAAAAGTTCTGACTCCTCCAGATGATTGTGGCAGCTGACACTTTAAATGAACTAACTCATTTAGTTCTCATAATAATCTGGCGCTAAGTACTATTATTATTCCCATTTTAGACTCGAAGAAACTGAGCCACAGAAAGGCTAAATAACTTATCCAAGGTCATGGAGGTAGTAACAGGCTAGACTGAACTGAAGCAGACCAGCTCTAGCATCCACACAGTTAGCTACACACCATAGCTCCTCCCAGGTTCCTCCCATTTCCCTCAAGCGTAATGGGGAAAGCAAGGCAGCCTTGCCCACCTCAAGCCAGCTCACAGACCTACCTTCCCATCTGCTTCAGTGGCTGGCTTCCCACTTACCTCGGGCTCCTCCCCTCCATTCTGGCTGAGTTCGCCCTGCAGCCTCTCTCGCAGCTTCCCGAGCTCTGCCCGTAGGCTGCCCATCTCCTGTTCCTTGGTTTGCAGATCTGCCTCTAGTTCTACCTTCTGTTCAATCAGGGCCTTCCCCTGGGCCTCCACCACTGTGACACGGTGCCGGAGGTCATGGTTGATCTTCATCAACCGGGTCTGCTGTTGTTGCAGCTGGAGAAAGAGGAAGGCCATTTATGGGGCTGCCACATACAGTAGCTCATGTTGTGTACTACACAAGGGCAAATCCTCTACAGGCGTGCCATCATATTGAAGACATCCTCATTCGTTTGAAGTTTGTTCATATTCTTACAACTGTTGATGCCAGAGATGGGCAATTTGTATATTTACTATGATAATTTTATGACAGATGGAAGGTAAGTGTTTTGTCAGTATATCATGATGATTTCCCAACAGATGGAAGTAACATGCCTTAAGAAAGGGGTATCTTTCTAATTCAGGTGGAGACACCGTATGGGTTCCTGGAGCAGCCTGAACCATGCTGGCCTGCTCATAGAGGGGCACGAAGAGGGTGGGCTGGAGGAAGCCTCAGGGTCAGAACAAAGCCAGGCTGGGCCTCGGCAGCTCCCGAGGGCATGGGAGCAGCAGGTCACCAGGCAGTGCCACGTTCCCTCCTGCTGTTACAATGCGGACCCGGCTGAGGGTCCTCCCCACAGCTGCGGCCTCAGGCAGGACCCCCGCCCCACAGAGCCCCCAGCACGAGCCCAAGGGAGCAAAGGGGAACCGCCTGCGGGGAGGATCCAGTCTCCCGTTGTATCGGCTGGCCGGGAGGGTGGACATGGGGTAAGGGCTCGTCACTTACAGCCTCCACATCCTCATTCTTCAGACCGAGCTCCCTGTCCTTGGCACGGATCTCGTCGCGTTGCTTGTCCACCACCTCCTTCAGCTTCTTCATCACTTGCCGCTCACGCTCTGACATGCCTGGGGTGGGGCGAGCGAGACCAGCAGGTGAGCCTCCCCCTCCGCCTCCCTGGCTTAACCCACCTGCAGCTTCCTACGGAGATGCTGAGATGCTGCTGGCCCCGAGCCTTCTCCGTGCCCCGTTCCCCGGAGCCAGCGCCTGCTTCCTGTCCCTGGGTCCCTCCGAGCTCATCCCCACCTCAGGACGCCGGGCTGGCATGTTCCTCTCTTCCAATGTCTGGACTGGCTCCCCTCGTTGTTCAGGCCTCAGCTCAACCGTCCCCTCCCCACAGAGGCCCTTCCTTCCCTGCCCCCCTCAACGACCCTCCCACCCCGTCTACTACCTTCACCTCACTTGTTACAACTACCGTCTCACAGGTCTTATCATCTAACAAAAGATGATTCAGAGCAGAGGTTCTGAGCGCACACACCGGGCTCTCCCATTTATGGTCTGCGTGGCTTCAGACCAGCCTCTCTGTGCCTCAGTTTCCATATCTACAAGATGGGAATAACAGAACCCTACCCCATACGGCTGCTGTGAGGATTGATTTAGTGAATACACAGGAAGCATATGGAAGATGATGCCTGGCACAGAGCCAAGGAGTGGTGTCTGTTACTTGCTTGTTCATCCTCTGTCCCTCCTGCCCCCGGCCCCCAAGTATACTGTTGGCCCCAGGAGGCAGGGCCTTGACTGACCTACTCACTGTGTACTGCCTTGGCTAGCACAGTGCCTGGCACACGGTAGGTGCTTGCTAAGCGGGCCCGGCACACGGTAGGTGCTTGCTCAGTGGTCTGGTGAGTTAGTGAACTGTGCTAGTTTTACATGTGGCTGATATAGCAAATGACCAACCAAATCTGATAGCTTAACACATCAGAAATTTTTTTTCTCATAGTTCTGGAAGCCAGAAGTTTAAAATCAGTCCAAAGTCAAGATGTTGCCAGAGCTGTGCTCCCTCTGGAGGTTTTAGGGGAGAATGAGTCCTTTCCTCTTCCAGCTTCTGGTGGCTGCTAGTGTTCCTTGGCTTGTGGCCTCATCACTCCAGTCCTTGCCTCCGTGGTCCCATGGCCTCCTCCTCTTCTGTCTGTCAGACCTCTCTGTGCCCCCCTCTTATAAAGACACTTTGATTGCATTTAGGACCCGAAAAATTCAGGATAACCTCCCCATCTCAAGATCTTAAATGAAATCACATCTGTAAAGATTTTACCGTATAAGGCAACATCCACAGGTTTCAGGGATTAGGGCCTGATATTATGGGGGACCATTATTCGGCCCCCTCCAGGCACTGGGGCAGACAGCTAATCCTTGCTTCCCAGGAGCAGTGGTGGTCAGGCTCAACCACAGGCTAACCTGGTTCTCCTGTGTTCGGGGGGCACGTGGCTGATGGACCAGGTGTCTGAGAAGAGTAGTTTCTTCTGTGTGTGACCCCTCCACCGTTCTCCCGACATGACTCCCTCGTCCAAGTTGCTCCATCCCATCTGAATCTCTCCTCTCCCCTGTCCTAGATATTCCCAAGCAGGTGGTCACCACCAAGAACAAGCATTTGTGTGTCCAGAACGGTGTGTGATGCTGCCGGGCCACAAACCCAGATAAGACGTGGGTCCCTGCCCTTGAAGAGTCCGAGATTTTATGTGACAGGCACAAACGCGGATGTCCCAGAGGGCGGCCATGCTGCCCCAACCGTCTGTATGTTAGGGTTCCCACATGGGAGACGCTCCAGGCTGATGGAACGGGGACCGACTCCCCCCCAGACATGCACATTCCCAGAGCGCAACTCACTCCCGCTAAGCCCATGAAGGACAAACTGCTTTACATCCCTGACCCTATTTTATTTTATTTATTTATTTATTTATTTTAAAAAGATTTTATTATTTATTTGACAGAGAGAGACACAGCGAGAGAGGGAACACAAGCAGGGGGAGTGGGAGAGGGAGAAGCAGGCCTCCCGCGGAGCAGGGAGCCCGATGTGGGGCTCGATCCCAGGACCCTGGGATCATGACCTGAGCCGAAGGCAGACGCTTAACGACTGAGCCACCCAGGCGCCCCTCCCTGACTCTATTTTAGTGTCGTTTCCAGCCACTGGGAATGGGTATTATTACTGTTGGTTTTTTGTGTTTTTTTTAAAGATTTTATTTATTTATTTGAGAGAGAGACTGAGAGAGCGAGCACATGAGAGGGGGGAGGGTCAGGAGGGTCAGAGGGGGAAGCAGACTCCCCGCCGAGCAGGGAGCCCGACGCAGGACTCGATCCCGGGACTCCAGGATCATGACCTGAGTCGAAGGCAGTCGCTTAACCAACTGAGCCACCCAGGCGCCCCTATTACTGTTGGTTTTTAACATCTGTCCCATCTTACAGAACCAGAAAACTGAGGCCCAGAGACAGACTCGTTCAAAGACATACAGCCAAGTGCTGGCAGAGCCAGGACTCCAACCCCGGTTTTCAGACTCTTACGTCCCATGTCCTTTCCCTGATGCCACACTGCCTTCCCACTGCAGGACAAGACTCAGAGGCTCTGCTAAGGTCACTAGAAAGTGTCACCATGGGGCAGACTCTAGTCCATACTTTCTCTGACGGGCCCACCTGCTTGGAGCGCCCTCACATCTTTTTGCACATATGTGCATGCACACATGCACACGCATACACACACACATGCAGTGTTCATGGAGCGTCTGCTGTGTACTTGGCACTGACCTAGAATCACTGGGATCGTGATGGTCAATAAATGAAACACATTTTTGCTCTGACTGACTCACAGACATCAGACAGAGATGGTGTCGTTACAGACCGAGATAAGTGACAGGGCAGATGTAACAGGGCCTGTAGAACATCTCGAGGGGACCCACTGGAGAGGGGACCCACTGGAGACAGTGGGAGCAGAAAGCCCTCTCACAAGAGCCATTTACACTGAGACCTGAAGGACCAGAGGGTGGGCAGGTGACGAGGACAAGCATTGCAGGCGAGCACCAGCAGGTGCAGAGACCCTGGGGGAAGACACTGCGAGTCTGGAGAGCTGAAGCACAATACTGGTGGCCAAAGCTAGTAGCCAAAGCACAGCGGGCGAGGGGCGGCGGGAGCTTGAGCCGCAAGCAAGCCTAGACCACGTGGGACCTCAATGGCCAGGAAGGAGGTTGGATTTTCGCCTAAAGAGGCAATAAGAGCCTCAGGATTTTGTAGGGCCTGCAGGAAGCAGAAGGAGGGAGACCAGGGAGACCAGGGAGGGGGAGCCAGAGAAGAAAGGTTGCCGGAGGGCAGGTGTGCAGGATGCAAATGAGACAGGCCAGAGGGAAAGGAATTATAACAAAGACGCTGATGGCCAAGTGACCCGGGAGGCTCCAGAGAGTAAGAGAAAGATGAGCTGGAACGTCTAGGTTCTGGTTCCGACACAACATGTAACTACTGGCTTTTTTTTTTTTTTTTTTTTTTTAGATTTTATTTATTTATTTGAGAGAGCATGAGAAGGGAGACAGTCAGAGGGTGAAGCAGACTCCCCGCTGAGCAGGGAGCCCGATGTGGGACTCGATCCCAGGACTCCAGGATCACGACCTGAGCCGAAGGCAGTCGCCCAACCAACTGAGCCACCCAGGCGCCCCTAACTACTGGCTTTTAAAGCAACATTAACCTCTCTGAGACTTCACGTGTTCATCTGCACGTTTTCTACCTTCCTACCTCTCCAACAAGGCTGTGCATACAAAGTGCAGGAGGAAATCACACAAGCCGATGAAACAGAATCCTTTCCTACGGGCGGGCCTGGGACCGAGACCAGCACTCAGCCTCCTCCTTGACCTGCCGGGGCGTCCTAAGTGATGCGGCTGAGAGGCGCAGAGGTGCCAGGCCGGGCTGGGGTGGGGAGGGGAAGCAGGGATGGAAAGAAGGGGCAGGCATCCCGACAGAATGGCTAGAACGGAAAGTCCTGAGTGCTGAGTGCTGGGGAGCAGGTGGGGCCGCGGGAGCGCGCGTGCATCGCTGCTCGGAGCGGCTTCGGAACGTGGGCGTTACCGACCACGGCTGATGCACATGCCGTAGGCACCAGCAGCCGCCTCCCGGGTATGCGCCCGACAGGTGCAGGGCGGCTCCATAAACGGCTGCACAGCCAGACACTAGGAGGCTAATCAAGGCTGAGACACACTGGTGAGTGAAGAAGGAAAGTGACAATGTCTACGGCACAAGACGCGTACAAAAACGTGCACGGGAGCTTTATGCGGAACAGCCCCAGACTGGAAACAACTGAAATGCCCATTAATAGAAGACAGAGAGAAAGCGGTGTACTAGCGTGCAGAGGACTACAACACAGCAGGAAGGACAAGCCACGAGCTCCGCTTGGAGCTCACAAAGTCGGTGACTTCTCAGGCTCTCCTCCTCCTTCAGCGCGGCGTCAGCCTAGAAGCTGCAGGCCGCCCCCCGCCGTACCCCTGGTGGGGTGTCACAAGGCCATCTGGAGGTCCTGGGCATGGGCGCGTGCCCCTAACATCCCTCAGCCACTGCTGCAAGGCAGGGCCTGGGCTCTGCCGGTGGGACAAGAGGACACCACTAATGTCTCCCGGAAAGGCGTTCCTCAGACACAGTGCGTGCATGCATGCTGGGGCTGAAGTCAGGTGGCAGCAGAATCTGAAAAAGCCACGAACACGTTGCTGTTTGCTCTCTGAGCACCTGTCCTGCTACAGGCTCTGGGCCAGGGCGTCAAGGGCTGAGCTCATTTAATCCTTGGTGGTGGCAAGTTGTGGGGACAGATTCCGCTCCTGGAGAAATTGGGTAGGAAGAACGGTGTGGGGGATGGGGGAGTGTGGGTCCAGAGAAAAGAAACCTGGATCCGTAACCCAGCTACCTCGTTCACCTTGGGGGCGCCCGGGCTTTAACCCGAGGCTGGAGAACAAAGTGGTCAAGAGCTTGGGGTCTGAAGCCAGATTTCCTGGACTCATTCCCTGCTTTGCCATTTATCTACTGTTGACCTTGGGCCCATTTTCTCCCTTGCAAGGTGGGATCATGGGCAGCCCTGACCTGGGGCCGGGGGGTCGGGGGGGGTGGG